TATTACTCAACTTCAATTTCTCACTACTTCCTTCAAAACTCTGTTCCGATCTTGAAACTATAAACACTCTTTAGATAGGAAGAGAATCTTGGAAAATTCCTGACAAACAGTATTTCACGATTTATTTTTCAACCATCAAGCTACTTAATCGACCCCACCCGCCGAATAATATTCAGTTCAATTTACACTCTTCGATGTAGATTGTAATCCTTTGAAACTACGAATTATCGAAAAAATACTGGACAAACAATATTTCCAAATTATCCTTCAAACCCTATACCAAGTCTCTTATCGCCCCACGTACAATATGATACATTCGAATCATGGTGAAAAAAACTCTATCGATTCGATGAAGATGTCACCACATTGGACCAGCAACGATCTTCCGTAATACCTGGCGATTTTCAAGAATTCTTTTTCAAAGCATCGTCAGCTCCTCTTTTCCTCGCCCACGCGCGTTGATATTCGACGCGTCGTTTATTGTCCTCCCTCCCTCTGGACGTTCCCTCATTCACGTTTGGCCACCTCTCCTCCCACGCTACACACCCTTTTTCCGTTCTCTCTTTTTCATTCATCCGGGGGGGAGACCGTGGGCCCGTTCGACCGGCCCCTGGCGTCCTCTTACCTTTTTCCAGCGAATGGTATCGCGGTTCACCGTTCATCAATGAAACATGACTAGCTCTCGGTGTTTCGGTGAGTAGGCTCGTTTATCGAGCGGTAGTGCCTTCTAATTGGCTCGCGTTTTTCTTTCCTTTCCCCCCCCCCCGTCTCTCTCTATCCTCCCCGCCACCCATCCCTTCCCGTTCATCGCCGCCGCTCCGGTTCATTCATTCGTTACGTAAAGGTCACGGGTTCCACACCAAGTTTGCGCCGCCGTCAGACCACGACATTTAAGCCTCGTTCACAACATTATGCATTAGAGATGGCGTGCAAAATCACTAACGGTAAGATTTATCACAGTGATCGTCGAATCACGATCACGGTCGTGATTGAAGGGGTTATGCCCACGTGCCCGATCGTTCATTATCCCGATAATTTAATTTATGACAGAATGGCGGCTGTTCAAAATCGAAGTATCGATTTTCGCCTAAAAAGTCGTTCATTTTTTATCTATAAAATAAAAACTACGCAATGAAATACAAAAAGCCACGATCAGGCACTAGATTTTTATGTATAGAATGAGTCCAACAAAGCTGATACAGTTTGGTGCAACGGTTTTCGAGATATTTTGGTTTGAGAAAAACACGTTTAAAGTTTCAAGTCATATAATACAATATAACGGAACATAGTATAATAAGCAACTTTATTACTTTAGTGATTTTGAAATAAGATATTTGAGGTCCGTCACTTTGACAGATTTTACTAAACAGAATTTGTGCAACGTCGTGGAATATTTAAGCGGGTTCACTTCAGAAATAATAGAACGTTGCATAACTAGGTACTGTTGATTTTTTTATTCGTTATTAGTGTCTTGTTGATAATATGTATTTATATTCGTTGGATTTGTCACGTTTCGCTCTAATGAAAAGTATTTAGAAAATGCTATAGTTGCATTTGAAAAAAAAAAAACAAAATATGACATTCATTTCTTCGAATAAAAGGCACATAAAGAAACTCTGACTTGAATTCGTGTATATAAAAGTACATTGTAATTTCTATGTATCAAATGGAGGGGAAGAAGTTAAACACACGTGTCTCGTGGTAGTTACGCGGGACATTAACGTCGACGGGACATGTTAGAGGATGTGTCAGTGGTCCACGTGACAAAAAAAGGCCACGAACGAAAGAGGCCGTATCTCCTCCTAATATCGGAATGCGACGGCGCACCGGAAGTCTTAAAAAGCTGCCTTATCTCAGAAAATTCCCTTCTCTTCCCCTCCGCTTTCGGTGAATGATTATCGGCTCCTCGGTTGTCTCGACGTCCGAGAAACGGCTTGTAAATGTACCAACCGCTGCGCGGCCACTTTATCCACTTGTAATTAGTCGTACATTATCGTTCGGAAGTTTGGACATGTTTTTTGTTCTTTTTTTTTTTTTGTTTCTTTTGAAGGGGATTAAGATTGTTAAGCGTCTCTATTCGTCGAGGAACTTAATCGTTCTTTATCGTGGTGTAGATTTTATTTGTCACTGGAATATTGTAATATTAACGATTAATGCGAATATTAGCGTGGTCTAGAGAATCTTATAAACTTTCGTTTATTGTGTTCTTTTGCGCCAACCAAGCAAAAGAAATGCTGACTTTTTAATCAGGTTTAGCACAGTAATAGAGCTTGAAACACTGAAGCCAATGATATTTGTTTCAGCCTCACATGACAATTAGTTTATAAAGTATTTAATATTAAGTGTCGAGGAGCCTTCGAACACTCATCGTGGATTTACCGTACATATCAGTCTCATAATTTTTAAATAACGATTTAAGGGCTCGGTCGTCGAAGGATTAAGGGGTGTTTTCATTCTAAAGGATCAAACAGTAGGAAAAACGTCATACACAAGAGTCAACCTTCTGTAATCCTCTATTTCCGTTTATGTATTCAGTATCTACATATGTCATCGAAATAATCTGTCTCCGAACGATACGAAACTTGTCAGCAGAATCTTATTTTTCAGTTTATGTATACCGCGTGTGCTCGATTTCAGCAGCTTTTATTTCCTCGCGAAACGCGTGTGTGCTTCAGGAAGGATTAAAAGCAGGTTACCAGAGGGTTAAAGTGTACCACGCTCGCGAAATGTTTCGGAAAGAGAGCGCCCCGCTTACTCGAATCGAATCCCCGTAAACAGTACCATAAACACTACTTAGATCACGTCGTAAATAGTGCATTCTTTTTTTTTTTTTTTTAATGTATATCCCACGTGCTCTGTTGGAACGGACGGACTCATCCCCCGGGATATTTACGGGCGGCGAGGCCGAAACGAACGCGACCGCTGACTCGCGTTAAATCCCACGATCTCGCAATCTCGGGATTACAAACTTACGAGTGCCATAATTTCCTTAATTCCACCGGGACACCCCCGAGATTACCGAGCACACCGTTCGCTCGAGATTTCTCCGAAAACTGTTTAATATAGGGTTCACTTGAAAAACAGAGGAAAAAGCAAAATGCAGGGATTTATGATCGTTGGCCCTCGAACAGCCGATCTGATCGTTACGTGGAAGGTGGATACCGGGTCAGTAGCGACTCGTACCGAAATTTTTTTTGTCCATACTCTTTAGATCTAGTTTTTGGAACTCCTAAACCTGGCCTTTTAATTTCAAAACAAAGACGTGTAGAATTTGTTTAAAAACCGTTATGGTTTAAACCGATTTTATTCGAATTCAGCGTTGAAAAATGCATCCATTCATCTGAGCCCTAGAAAGCATTCGAGATCCAAGTGGACTTCTATTGAATTTTGGTTAAGAGCATAGGAAGGTAGACCTAACTTCATTGTATTCTGTGGATAAATGGTGTATGCCCAGCTTGATCAATAACTCAGCAGGGAGTGTTGAAACATATCATGTTATTGTCAGGGCACTTCCCCCAGCCCTCCACCCACACTGCCAGAGGGAAAAAAGTGGCCTTTGCTCCTACCCAGAGGGGGAAAAAAATTGGTTTTTGCCTCCACCCCCTTCCACTGATAACCTGGCTACGCCCACATCAGTATGAGTTCATATCGGTCTGTATTAATATAATTATCCGGGTATATTCAGCATAATCATTATACTCGATTACGATGTCATCGTACACTTAATGATCTTACTCACGTATAATCAGTATATCCGGATATACTAATATGAATATCTATTAAGTCGTTTACAGGCCGAAGTGAGTAGTTCTACTCTTTGAATGTTTCCAAATTTTAGTGCCAAAGCACTTGATTGATTGGCACACAATTTTTTGTATTTAACACGTTGAGTGCCACAGTTTTTACACTAGAGACAGTATCATGATAAATTAGTTACATAGTTTATGTCTTTTTTGACTTAAATACTCATTATATTCATTATTATTCCACGACTAATTGTACGTATAAAATGTTAAGTCTTCCTGCTTGGTGACTCAACATTTCTTCGTGCAAGGTAATAGCGCCAGCTGACCACCATGGCAGTCAACGTGTTAAAATCAAATTCCCTTGATCATTTTTGTGCAGTTAATCACTTTGTTCTAAACCTCTAAATATCAACGTAACCTCAAAGGTATATTTACTGACTTGCACCCCTAAATGCTTTTAAGAGCTCCTAATGCAAATTCCGTCGCTATTTGAACAGAAGGTGAGACCAACGTGGCTCAGAATCGGTGATAATTTCGATTCCACCACAGACACACCCGGTATTTTTGTTAAATTTCGACTTGTCGATCGCGATCCGTCTTGTCGATCGAGGGAACGACCGAACCGGTTGCGTGTGTTTGTTGTAGGCGCGTTTATTTCTACGTGTCGCGTCGCACCGCGACTGCCAGCCGAATCCGGGCAGCATGCGTCACTAGTTATTTTCGCGACGAAACTGACACACACATGCTCGGCGCGCATAGCGTTCCGGTGTATTTATGCCACGGTGTGACAGTGGTTTATGTTTTACCTTAATGTTTCGTTTTCCCTCCAAGTACGGAACTACGTTGCGCCCCTCCTCGAAGACACGCCGTTCCTGCACGACCCGTGGAGCCTGGAGCGGTAGATACGTGTTCTTCTGGATATACCATTTTTTTTTACCTACGTGAAATGAAAATTTGTAGTACAGTAAATCATCGATGAGTGTTCGAAGGCTCCTCTGCGCTGAGAGTGTTCAGACGTCCTCCCCACCATTGGGGGTCCCTTGTGGAACCAGTCAAACGCCCAATAATGGGGATGATGTCTGAACAGTCAGTGTCGAGGACCCTTCGAATTACTGTATAGTAAATCCTCGATGAGTGTTCGAAGGCTCCTCGACGTTGAACATTAAATGTTTCATGAACTAATATAAAAAGAATATCACTGAACACTGAGCTGGAGAAATATTCTATTTATCTAATCCTTTATTATTGTTACAGTACGCCGGAATCCGAATCGGTCCCGTTGTCAAGAAGGATGTGATGAAGGCCTCCATTATGCTGGAACACGACAGTCAGTGAGTATATAAACAGCACAGACTCTTTTTCTTATGGCTGGAATGATTTAGTATGCACAGGTTGATCGTGTAATACCATTTTACGGTGATTCATTTAAATTCCACGACCCTCTAATATTCGTCACCCTGTAATACTAATAATAATATTTGTATTTTTATGCAAAATGAGATTTTTCAAAGTAGTTCACAAAGAAGAGAGAAGTAGGGTAGGAACTTCTCCTCTTAAATATCCTTATTGGGTTTAGAACAAAATCGAATACTCGTTCAGCCGATGAAAGTTATGTGTTTTATTGTATTTCACAGAACTCTGTAGGCTATGATTGCATTCTAATAAATAATACATCTTAATTACAGTGGATTATTTACTTATATTAATTACGATTTACGCGTATTTTATTCCACAGATACTCCACCATTCTAGCATTCGACGTGAAAATCGAAAAGGACGCACAGGAGTTGGCTGACTCCCTCGGGGTGAAGATCTTCCAGGCGGACATTATTTACCACCTGTTCGACAAGTTCACCGCGTACAGGGACGAGCTGAAGCAGCGGAAACGTGACGAGAACAAGCATATCGCCGTGTTCCCCTGCAAACTTCGTATCTTACCACAGGTAAGTAGTACTATAATACAGATACCAGAATATTTATTACTAAATATAGTTTGTAATTGTTTACTACCAGTGTACTGAGTCGTTATTACAAGACAAGGTGTTAAATTAAACGCTTTCTTATCCAACTGAAAGAAAAGTTTGACCGTCGTTAATTTGTCATCGATCCCTCTATCGATAAAAGGTTCACTTTTAAAGGATCACAAACGCTTTTTCACTCTGTAGCTGAAACTACCCGCGTGACTTGACAATGCTTCTTCTTCCTTAAAGATAACTGGTTTCAATTACAGTACATCTTCAACTCCCGAGATCCTATCGTGATGGGCGTGATGATCGAGGCAGGAATCGTCAAAGAAGGAACACCTCTCTGCGTGCCCAGCAAAGACGTGAGTACTCTTAGATTTTCTTATCCTCCTCAGTTGCATTTTTTGCGCGATTCTTGTGCATTCACAACCTTCGAAGAGTACAAAGGAAAAAGAATGAAGGTACACTTTTTGCTTGTTATGAAATAAAATATATATATATATAAATGTTGTTCTTATTGTATAGTTCATGTTTGTATTCGAAAATGGAAATAGTGCAGTTTCTTTAGTTGTACGTTCAGTTGAACTATCGACTATTTTACCAATTTTAATGGACTTTCATTTCACTCAAAATAACATTAAGTAGACACTCATTCCTTCCCGCTGTACCCTTCAATCTTGAGTGCACAAAATGTAGTATAACAACGCTTAATTACCAAAACCCTTACATGAGAACTTCGGTAACCCGAAGATTCCGATTTTTTTAACCCGCTCACTGCATCTTTTTCGTATCAAAGTGCCAACACTTCGAACAAAAAAGATCACTTTATTTGCAAGAGAATGGCCTATTGTTTACACATAAGTCAGCCAAACTGAAAATCTCGAGGAAAAAAGACCAAGGTGGGTCTAACCCCTTATGAGGGCCGAGGGGGGCGGTCGCCATCGCGATTTGCCAGCGCGTAGGTGAACTCGTTCCCCCCTTGAAATAGCTGCGATCCAGTTGGCCGGACGATCGATCGCCCCGATCGAACGACCGGAGCGGAATATAAAACACGTGTCCCGCGAGCCTCGCCGGTTTCCTCGAGTTTCTTTCTCTTTCCCGTAGGTGTGACCGAGGCACCCCCTTACCTGCCCTACCCCTTCTTGCCCCGATATCCTCTGTCCGGAGGCCCCCCTCCGATTTTTCGCGCGTTACACACGCGTTTCCTCGCGTCCGTTTCCTTCCCCTTTTCATCGTTCGCTGCCCCGCCGCGCTTAAATAATAATTACGAGCGGCGGTCGCGTGGGAGTCGACCGGAGAATGTACAGGGTGTACCCGGGGCAAGTGTCGCCGTAAAGATCCCGAAGCTTTCCCCTGCCCAATCGCGTGATTCTCGACGCGAGTTGCTCTCTTCGATTATGAGCCACGAGTGTTGCTATGACCGAATCCTTCACGAACAATTTGCTATATTTATTAGATTGCCGCCACGAATTCTGTCCAGTAAATAATACTTTTCTGGATTTATCGTCAGGCTACCGCGTGAATTCTGTTTGATCAGTAGAGAAATCCAACGTTAGACTGGCTTTAGCGTTAACTGCCTTTAACACTTATCTTGAGTGTTTGATTTGTCTTGAGAAGAAAATTTTCTATTGGTATGAGACAGTACCTTATTCTTAGACTTTGGATGGTCTCTGGGTCTATTTTGATCAATGATTTTAGAAAGCTAATTGTCTGTATTAGTGTTTTGTAAGGAGACCAACGTATATATTTTGAAGGAAATCGTTCAGAAACATGTTTGACCAGGGATGAGTATGGGTTCATCCGAAAATCTGAACCGAAATACACTACTTTCTTATCGGTCAACGAAAAACGTCCGTCTTTCGAGGGGTCTAACTCAGTTTAAATTCGAAACATCTTCACGCCCTTTTCATCTTCCAAGTATCACTGAAAAACAGTGGTATCTTCTAAAGTCCTCGAAAATTGACTATCGAATTTGACAAGATACACTGGATCATTTATTGGTACATCTAATACGACATAAATTTCGCTAGCTTATACCAAAGAGAGAGAGTGGCGAGCACACGATTTTCCTCTGAAAACATTTCTCCGGTACTATAAATACACAGAAACCGTTCAACACTCGAGTTTACAAAGAAAAACGAAACCTGTCGGTTAATCATTCCGTTCGTGTATTTCTTTCTGGAAAATTGGAAGCGATTGTCGGAGCCTATCCCATCGCGTCTACGTGTATGCGTGCCTCGGTCTCGTTCCCTTTTACTCGTAGGAGTAAACTCGTGGGCAGTCCGTTCTTTGCAGCCTCGCCTTACGCGGTTAGTGTGTATATAGGTGTACACTCCTCGTGAAAGACGCCCACGCGTGTCTCTCCGCTTCCAGGCTCGGCTCGGCGGCCCCGAAATGATTTACTAGGCAAATGGCTCGCTCGCCCCCGAATGGCCGCGTTATTTGCGCAAGATCCTCGAAGATTTTTGCGCGCGTGGGAACCCGACTGATTTATTGGAAGTTAAGCGTGTGTGTTCCCTTGCCCTCCCCCTCCCCCTTCCCCGTCCGTCCTCGGAGAAACGGCCAATTCCCTCCGACAGCGTTCAATTACATTGTCAAACTCGCTCGCGCCTGTTGGCCTGTCCTTAAACCCGTAGGCACTCTGGCTACACGTCGTCTCCCATTTCCTTCCGCTTTTAAACGTAAGTTTGTGGTGTAAGGGATCGTGTGAAATACCTTCGATTAAAGGACACCCGTGGACGCAGGCACACACCTGTCCTCCATCGGGTTTACGCAATTTTGTGGAACGTCCTGGGATGACTTTTGGGCTGTTCAGAGTGTCACAGAACTCGTTTCGTGATACAGAGTCCTCTCGATTATTGTCCTGAACTCGAGGTTATGCTGGGACAATAATCTTGTAGGAAGAAATGCTTCAGACCCTCGTGAATTCGATTTTTTTTTTTTTTTGCCTGGAGCCCGAGCTTTGGTAATAAAAGCGGAGGGCCGACAAAGTATGCGCTTGACTGGTTTCACTCCTGGATAATAATCGTGTAGAACAAGCCAGACAATAATTGAGAGGAATCGTGTAGAGGGTCGTAATTTCGGGACGGGTGAAACCGCGTAGGGTTCGACGAAGTCAAGAGAATCTGATAGCATAGCTACCAACTACAACGATATCCTACCGCCAACATTACGGTAGTTCTTATTTAATCAAAAATATTTTCGTTGATAATGATCTTAGATTAAAAAACAAGTCAATGTAGAATAAAACTCGTTCGTTTTCGGGAAAATCGACAGTGAAAATTAATCTGGAACGCGTGTAGTCATTATGATAGTAAGTAGAAACGGAAAACCATGAACAGACGCCCCATCCAAGACCAATTCAATCACACGCGTAGCCAACAGATTTTCAAAGACGATTTTTTGGAAAACAAAGGCTTGTATGAAAAAATTTATTCTACATTATCGACTTATTTTTTTTATGTAAAATCACCTCCTGACAGTTATGCCACCAGTTACCGACCACCTAGTGTAATATAAGCGGTGCTACTGCGGGCAATTCCATAAAATAGGCGGAATTATAAAGAGTAAAGTTTTCGACGTTTTGAAAGAAAAAAAATATTTTCATTACGAGATGATTTTCTAAACAAAATATTGCCTCACGATTGTAGCTGTAAACTGCTGCAACTAAATTTTGGCTTAATATCAACAGTAATGTTTACCGAACGTAATACTGGAAAAATTTTGATAAACCTACATACACCATCAAAGTTACAACATTTTCAATCTAGTCCGACATACAAAAAACGAATATCTTTTTATGTGATACTGTAATAGTAAATTACGATTTTAATAGTAGTTGAAAATCCAAAAGTTTTTGAATAAAGCAGATAAATACCTGTACTATAAGAGTCCATTGCTATCTGATAAAATATTCTTTAGAAACAGAACATGGTTAAACACTCGAGACGTGAAAAAGACCGACTGATACATTGCCTCAAGAGGATGTCGACTGTTTATAAAACAAATTCAATCATACGTAACGTCATTGAGATCCGTAGTCTTTTTTTTCAACAGAGTATAACCTTACAAATAATTCTAATTTTAACTTATTTTATGACATGAACATTTTTTTATTAATTCCACCTATTTTATGGTAATGGCCCACTGTGTGCCGCGTATTCGACGGGTGTGCACGCGTACTGCTGCTGCGTGTGCAACGAGCGGTTCTCTCGCCCGCGCGTAGAAAGCAGCTCCGACCACGTTCGGCTGGCCCACGCGCTTCGAGTCGATACACATGGATATGTATGCATAGGTGTACGTGTGTACACACTTCCTTCGGCCCTACCCTGCTTCATCGTTGCATTTCGGCCTTTCTTAAAATTCAACGGAAATTCCGCCGGTATAAAGTGCCCGGCGTATAGCTATTTTTATCGGCGCTATCGGAATCGCCTGGGTGCTCCGGTTGCTCCCTTGGGTGCCCCACGATTCGTATTAATATTACACGCTCTTCATGTGTGCAAGAGGTCAACATTATTTAGATGTATTTAAAACGATTAAAAATAGAGGTGTTAAACGATTAAAAATGACGAAGTACTTTTTTAATCTTTTATTCCTCATTCGAAACACTTTATCTAGATAATGAATTTTCCCATTTCTGCCGACAAGCAACCGTGTTACGTATATAACAATAATAAAGAATCGTTCGCGTCGCCGTGCAGCGATTCGTGAATAGACGTAACATGTATGCGTGCATGTGTATTGTATCTTCCGTCGTGATAGAATTTTTATTGGCGAACGATGATCCGTACCGGATGTCGGGTATCACGGAACCTGGTTGGCTTAGGTCAGGCCTGAGAACTCGCCGCGAGTAGTGTACGGATCCGCGAGGGCCCGCGAGCGAGAGAGGAGCCGCTCCGTGAAAGAAATTGTACGCGACGGCGGCGGCTGGGGGGCAGAGGCACGCCTTCTACGTGATTCTGCAAGCGTCCAGCGAATTTCGACCGTTTTCCATTCGTCGACGACGACCACCGGTGTGTGGCTCGCCGTTGCGAATTCAGAACGAGGACGCAGCGTTCCGAGAATCAGCCGAAAGACTTAACGGGAGGGAGGGACTGTTGCGATCCGTAGCGACGATCTCTCGGACGATTTTTATGCCTCCTTCTGAAATAGACGATTATAAAGGCTATTCTAACATTCTTGTTTCGTCGGATTTTTAACGAATTTTTAACTCTCTACTGGGTCTCGGTGTAATCTCGAAGTCACATACCAGTTTTACTATTATTAAGCGAATAAGAATGTTTTCGACCACCGTTGGCCAAATTGAACGGAAAAAATTGGGACATTCGCAAATGCCCAGTGTAATCCTAATCCCTTTCTGACC